AAAAAAAAAAAAAAAAAAAAAAAAAAATCATGGTTTGGGTAGATTTAGGGGTACATCAACCAGGAGAGAGATTAGGCTGCAGTTGCAAACATAATTTATTCAAAACCCAAAATACTTTTCCATTTGCCTACATCTTCAATTAGGTTCAAGATTTTCCTGAAGTTCCTGCTCCTCCATCCCCTCTCACACACTACAATGAGCAGCTGGAGACGGGAGACAACAATTGCATGCAGGAGAACCCAAGCAAACTCTTTGCTTTAATTCTCAGTGACAACATGGAATGTGGCTCTCTCACTTATATTCTGTGATGTCTCACAAGGCTGAAGTCCTTTCAGTTTTGAGGCTGATCTATAAAATCAATGTTAAATTAATTGTGTGTGCAAATCTTACTCTCCAATTCCAGAAATGCTCCTGTGAGCCCAGGTTGGTCAGCAGTGGCACATTAACTAGCTGTTATATGTTACATATGTTTGCCGGTACAATCTGGTTTGCCACTGACTGTATTCTCTACATTTTTAGAAGCTGGTGAGTCTTAGGTAGCAAGCTAACAATTGTTGCATGTCTGTTCTCCAACATGAGTGTTTGGGTTATGATCCTGGGGGACACTGGGAGTAGCCCATCATGCTGTTCCTGTTTATCAGCAATGCCGAACATGATGGCAGACTGCACTAACTTTCACCTACAGTGCTAGTCAATGAGACAGATTCTTCAAACACAGATTCTTCTACACTTGTGTGCATACAATATGCAGTAGGAACTACATGGAATATAAAGAACTACACATTCTAAGTAGCAAAGTCTTTGCAGACTTTATACTTGTTGCAAAAATAATGTGGGCAGAAGGGCAGACCACATGTTACTTTGTACACAAGTATTTATCAGAGTAAAAATATAAATACCACAAATGACTATTTACCCTGAATACACCAGAAAAATAATGATGACACCCTGAAAAACAGCCCAATGGCCAAATAATCCAAGCAAACTGTGTCAGCAGGAACAGGAGTAGTGTGAAGGTAGCAACTGGAGGTAGAAGGCAATACTGCCTTGTGCTGCATAGAAGAGTTACTTCAAAAAAGTAAACCGTCATCAGATTTAAGAGTGATGATGATTGTGTAGAGTAATGTGATAAATACTATTATTACAAATTAGTAATAGTGGTGTGGTTAGTTAATTAGATTTCTTAATTTATTAGTTACTTAGTAATGTATTGCATAAGCAGTAAACATTGTAGTCTCTTAAATTGGTTAGTCTCAATCCTGCAACCCGAAAAGGAAGAATGGGACTGGAACTAACAAATAGGTAGTAAAAAAAGTATCTCACAAAGTAATAAATTACATAGGCAACAGCCTGAAATAGCAACATGAAACTGAAAGGTGCCTCATATTAAACTGTGCAAACAAAAATCATGTATTATTATCAGGTCTAGCTAGCCAGGCAACAACAAAACAGGAAAGTTTATGGGGATTATATTGTATCACAAACTAGAAAGACTCCAATGGCCTTGCAAGAGACATAAAACCTGTAACAGATTTTTTTTTTTTCTTTTGAAAGAGACAGAAGTGTTGCATACATGTGACATTTAAAGGAATTAATCAATGCTATTTGGGTCAAGTGAAGTCTCACCTAAAATACAATAAACAGTTTGGAACAGTGTTACCCTGAGCAACATGCCTTGTTCAGAGTTGCTTAAATTTTATGTGCTTGCTATCCATGGGAAAGAATGTATTGTTTACTGGGGAATCCTAAATCATACAACTGTTTCTCATTGCACCCGAGGATACATAGTATGTATTATTGTCCATGTAAATGTTCCTCATCAAACACAAGGACAGATTGGACACATCAGTTAGGTCAGTCTGTTGTTCTCACCATCAACAATCATTAGTAAGGAACTTCTAATCAGGACCTACCATTCTTGAAGAAGAGAAAACATCCTGAACATGAAAGCTTGTTAAAATTGTTTTATGTAAATTAGTTTAATTAGAGATTAGAGTGTCCTTTGGAAGAACTATCCTCATTATAATAGTAAAAATAACACACACTGCTTCAAAGACCCCTGCCTGAATAAAGATCCTCAGCTTCTGAGCTTGTGCAGAAAATTAAAAACCCACTGTAACTTTAAAATGGAGGGAGTATATTAGTAAACAATGAAGGATTAAAGTGATAAGTAATTAACCAATAATCACCATAGTAAATACATAATCATGTAGTTTGGAGTGTATCAATATTTTAAAACTCTTTTGCTTAGGATGCTTGATTTATGGATGCTTTCCACCTACTACTCTGCTCAGAATAAAGCAGCATCTCCTCTCTAAGACAATACTGGTTTCAAGAGTCTTTACTTCAGGTAACAACAGGACCCTTTAAAGATAATTTAGGCAAAAGGCAATCCAGAGGAGATGAGAAAAATAGTAAGAGATTTAGAAAACATATATCCAGGCCCTTAAGATTTTTTTTGCAAGTGACTGAAGAAGAAAATTTTTGCACAGCATAATGGTTTTGCAAATTGTGAAGAGTGACTCTGGAAAAGCCTTTGGGCATCTTGCCTTCTCCTTACCTCAGCTAAGTAAGTTTGGCTACTAAAGGGCTATTGTTCTACCTGCAACATCTTGTACTTCTGATCTGGAGAACAGTTTTGGGGAGAGCACAGCAATCAGCTGTCTTTTGCAGAGAGGCCTCAAAGAATAAGAAAACAAGATCTAAGTGTCAACAGCAAGACTTTGGACGAATATTAGAAAAACAGTTGCTAGCTGCTTGGGAACAGAAACAACATAGGAACAAATTAAGTCACAAAATTGCAAAAATTTACTTTGTTTGGGATACTAGGGATAGGCTATGCAAACATTCTCCATCGTGGAAAGTGTAAGCTTATTTACCCTTGCCTCACTGAAAGCAGTAAAGACAGGTGACCTTCCAATCCTGATACAATACTCAGCTTTCTACATAGACATTGGTGAAGAGTGTCATCTAGTGGTCATAATTAAGAAAAAATACTGGTATAAATCTCAAATGCAAGAAAAAGTTGTTACTGATTTTATTATCAATTGAAATTAAATTGTGTTTGATTTTAATACAAGTACAGAATTAAGGGATATTTTAGTAAAAATCATTTTACATTTATTGTATTTTGAATCTAGCAACCGACTGCTACTCTAAAATCCCCTGTACAGCCCCATACCAAGGCCGAAGGGATTGGTCATAATTGTTCAGTAGGAACGGTTAGAGCCTAGGTAACAAAACATGAGGTGATTTGTAAACTGATTTATAATACATATATAGGACTAGAAGAATGCAAGCAGTTGTCAAGGTCCAGGATTAATGGGAACTAAGGGAAGCAACCATAACAGCTTGCGGGTACCTGCCAAGAAAACTGTGTCCTTAAGCAAAAGGTAATTCCGGCAGGGGGAGATCGTGACCACCGACTCATGGGCCACCTACTCACACCCCAGACCATTTCTAGACATTTCTAACCTTTACTGCACAGAATCAGAAATAGGAGGAGAATATGTTAATGATTTCTTGGAAGTTGTATGCTTATGTATGAAGACTTAATGAATATGTATGAGTAAGTTCTATATAAGGTGTATGATTCCGGTGCTCGGCACATGTTGGTGAGAGCACTCCCCTACACATCCAGCCATCAATAAAGAAGTGTCTGCTTATCTGCATCAAATTGGTGTCAATAAGTTATTTTTATCCAGGATTTCAGTGACAAAGTAGCCACAAAATTTTAATAACTAGCCATTCAATCATTACTTGCATTAACTGATTTTAAAATAAGAAAATATACATGAGAATAATTATAGATTTAAATGCTATATCAAAATGTTAATATTATAGGACTCATTAATCAACCAAACTAACTTTCTTTTTCTTCATATAATTCTATAATTTTAGAGTATTTCCATATGCAAAAAGTACAGAAAAAGGGAGAACTAGGGACTACCCAGGGAGGAACAACATAATTCCAGCAAGTGTTGCCAGCAAGTCAAAGGATGTGATCCTTCCCTTTTGCCTCAGCACTGGTAAGGCTGTCTCTGGAGTGCTGAGTCCAGTTCTGGGCTCCTCACTATGACAGAGACACAAAGCTACTGAAGGTAAGTCCAGAGAAGGGCCACTAAGACTGGAGCATCTTGCATATGGGGAAAGGATGAGAGTTGTGACTGTGCAGCCTGGAAAAAAGAAGGCTCAGGGGAGATGTCATCAAGGTGCACCAATATCTGAAGGGAGGGTGTGAAGAGAACAGAGCCAGGCTCTTTCCAGTGGTGCCCACTGACAGGACAAGAGGCAATGGGCACAGACTAAAACACAGGAGATTCTTCCTGAATGTAAGGAAACATTTTCACTGTGATGGTGGCTGCTCATGCAAACAGGTTGCCCAGAGCAGTTGTGGAGTCTACATCCATGAAGATACTCTGAAGTTGTCTGGACATGGTCCTGAGCAACCAGCTGCAGGTACCCTGCTTCAGCAGGGACAGAGTTGAGAAGATGACCTTCCAACTACAACCTCTCCGTGATTCTGTGAAAGTGTACTCTTTGTTGAAAACGAATATGAGGGGGAAACTGACCAAACACACAAATAGGAAAACATCTTGACAACAAAGTGATGTTGTACATAAACAAAAAACTGTTTTCCCATTGGAAGTCTGATTTTTACATTTCAATCATAAGCGATAATGCTTCTTGCATATAGCTGCTTCCAGTGTATTTTTAAAAAAAATTGGTAAACCATTTTGAACTGTTGTTCTTTAATTAAAGGATTACAAATACAAAGAACATAAGTTTTCCCTCCACCTCTTTCCTTCCTCTGCTTCCTAGGAGCTATTTCCTCTGTCATTCATATGAAGGACTACTATGAGCAAACTGGAGGACGAGAAAGGTGGCAAGATGGTCAAAGAACTCAGTTATGCTCTGGTTGAATGGATAAAGATCAGTATCCTCCCCTTCTTCTGTGCAGGTCTATCTGTACGTGGGGGTGTACATTTTTGGGGAGGGAGAGTAAGTAGCATGTATGTATATGTATGCTGGAATAATCAAACCGTGAGGACTTGTGTTGCTGAGCAGAGCAAATTCCTGATAACAAGCAGGGCGGCAGGGCTCTAGCTATGGGGACCAGGAGCTTGCTGGGTGTGAGGAGTGTCTGTCTGCCTGAGGTATGAGATGTGGATGTCAGTTTTAAGAGAATTGTGGCTGCAGCTGGCATAGCTGGAGCTTACAGAAGGTGCAAATGTTTTGGAGAGTATACAGAAGAGACTGTTATAGCAGCCAAAGAATATGTATGTTTGGAGCAGGCAAGAAGACACAGATATATGCATGTGTGTGAATGGAGAAGAGGGAACAGGACATATCTAAAGAACTGTAGAACCACTGAAAAAGAATGCCATAACCTGGTAGTACTAACCTTATTGAGAAATTCTGTCCTAACAAGCAATTCTGCAAATGGATAATGATCACATATATTCCTTAACAGGAGTCTATTCACCTTATTACTTTTGTTAACAAGTTTGACACTTGTTTTATTTTTTTATTATTTATTTTTAAAACAAACTATATTTAAGGGTATACTTTAAACTGACAGCTCATATATAGCTTGTTTGTGGGAGAAATATTTAAGGCTGGCTGAAACAAAATGTACTACCGACTGAATCAAATCAAAACAGCAGATGGATTATTTACCTTCCAGCTATTTCTACCCCTTATTGTAAACAGAAATGGAATAATTCACTTGATACACAAAGTGTGCATGGCAGCACTTAACTGTTTAACTTGTATAACAAAGCAACTATGTGATACACATAGGTTACTAGGTGCCTATCAGGCTTTCAGAATTCTTTTTTCAGAGTCTTGTAAGGAGCAGAACTTAACAGGAGATGTAAAATACTTTTAGGGCTTTCAAAAGAATAACAATTGCATACAAATATAATTCCCATATATCTATTAAAAACGTATCTAAGGTATCATTGGAACTTTTTGTTTAGGATATGGTAGAAGAACAATAAAATAAACCGTGACAAAGAAAGAAAATAAACAATCATTGATCTCTTGACTTACCTTTAATGACAGAGAACCAGCAAGAAAGAAGTGGTCCACATCAATGACAGAAGCGAGGAAGCCAGCCAGAGTAACCTCAGTGAAGTCACTTTTTTTCCTGAGTCCAATCACTATTGCCCAGGACCACATTCCTAGTATACCATGTACTGCATTATCAGACAAGGCTCTGAGCCAGTCATTTTGCTGAATGAAGGAAAACTGCAGAATTCTGTCTGCTACAAAGCAGAATATTCCCAAACCTAGACTAGAAATAACCGAAGCTGTGCTGAAAGTCTGAAGAAGAGCATGGGCCTTTTCAGTCTCAGATGCCATGGCAAAAACCATGTCACAGTACACAAAATGTCATCAGGATATACACTGTACATTGTCCTTTGTATCATCAGTTGCTCTGTAAATGTCAGAGAACAGAAAGAAAATTATTAAAGGAAAAAAATCCATTAGCACAAAGCATTTGCTATTACAGCTACAACAAAGCATAGAAAAACGTAAATTCAATGGTTGCACTTAATAGTCCTAGGGTATTTTTAATTTCAGTTAATTTGTTGACTTGAACACTACAGCTCTGAATTAAAACACTTGCCCTGTTGCTTGACTTGTTGCCTGTCAAGCACCTCTGTAACATGAAAAGCTCTAACTCCACTTTCTGAAATCTTAAATTTTACAAAATAATTTGAAACATGTCTATGATAATACATTAAATATGTTTCAAGATTCCTCCTGGTACTAGATACATGATATTCATAAAATTAAATCCTTTACATTGTAACAACAAAAAAATATTCTATTTGGAGGATTCTTAGGACTGATGCTCAAAAATTCTCAGATCCCTCTATGCAACAACTGTTAAAACCAAATTTCTAAACTGTAATCCAAAACTATTTCCATTTATATCCTTTGCAAACATGTGTATTATGACCCTGGTGCCTCTTTCTGACCAACTCCTTGTTTAGCCTGGAAACTGGCACAAAGAATAAGCATTAAGAAAACCACAAGCACTAAAATATCTGTACATTTATCATAAACAGAAAGACAATAGCCATTCAGTCAAGCAGACATAATCAAAACTCCTTACAGAGCAAAACTACCTATGTTTTTCCTAAGTATGTGCTCCAGCAGAAAACTCTACTGTTACTTCTAGGACTTGTCTAGGGTCCACCACATTACCTTCATAACAGCTCTTTTGGCAGAAAAAAAGAAAATTAACTATTCTCAGTCATTTTACTTTTCAAAAATTGACAGTTGTAATTTGAAAATAAAGGCATTGCTATTAGCATTAACACTAACTTATAATTTAGAAGTCCTTAAAACTATTTATGCTCTGTAACTGTTATGAAACCCTCTCATACAAGGTGATTTCTTGGGAATAATTATTGTCCTTACATAACTGCTTGACATCTCAAAAAAATTTCCCAAAGGAATTCAAAGTTCTTTGAGACACCCCCACCCCACTCCCAAGAAGTGATTATAAGAATCCCAGATTATAAAGACGGAGTGCTCATTTCTGTGGTATCATTACAAAGAACACTTTTGAAATAAAAATCCTCATATAAATGATGTATTCCCTAGCTTTGTTTCATTAAATGCACTGAAAAGCACTCTTTGAAGGACAGCATAAATTCTAACAGTCCCAAATATTACACTCTGTCTTTTTGGGGAGCCATGGGGACTGATCACAGTTTCAAAGGCTACATCCTATCTAAAAATGGATTCTTCCCGAGGTTGCTATTTCTGTGCAACACATTAAATCCTGGTAATCTTTTATTCTAAATAGTCTTTTTATGAGTGTGTTAGATTTACTTTAAAAATTAATACCTCTAACAATGTTGACAGATAATAAGTTTATGATTTTAAACACATTTTTGTCTATAAGCCCCAGAAAATATAAGATGTTTCTTCCAGATGATTTCCATGTCTGTTTATTGTAGAACTATCCACAAGACATGACTACTGCCACTGATCTTTATAGAAAAAAAGCCTATGGAATCATTTATTTGGAAAATGTTAAAAAAAGAGAGCATGAATGATACATGGACTTTGCACATAGATGAAAAATTGGGTCAAGTTTAGCATCTGTTAACCATGACTGTTTCTTCTGAATGAACATGTAGACACAAAGTGTTTCTTGAAACACTGGAACTGATGTTTTCTGGTGGGTGACTCTACAATATCCAGTACATTTCTGAATAAATTCCATTTTAAGGAACAAATGGTGATTGCATAAATATTTCTCCTATGTAATCATAAAATCTGTATGAGAATCCAATCTATAAAGAGCTGATGTAGCTAGCAACTTACCTTTAAAAGCACACTAGTATTCAGAATCAAACTTACCCTAGGACAATAAGAACACATTTTTTCCATTGCAGTTGCCTTGTTCCAGTAGGAAATGTGGTCAATCCCTCAGTGTGGAGCCTTGCTGCTTGCTGAATCCAGTCTGCCCAGTCCAGTGCAGGCAAGACCAAACACCATTTGTTCCATCCTAAACAAATAAAACCAGACAGCATAAGCACTGATACTACACAAAGCTCTTCAAACTCTTTACAAAACATACATGAAAACTGAACAATAGTCAAGAATACAGAAAGAAGCAACATCTTTTTAATGGATTCCTGAACAAATGCTAAAAGCAACTTTAGGTAGGGCTTTAGAAGCTCTGTTAAAGAAAGCAGGGAAAAAAGACCATAAAACAAGAGGGCACAAATAAAGATGGAAAAAGATAATAATTAAAAGATAATAACCTCCAGTGTCAAAGTCAGAAAAGGCCTTCTGGTTTAAGTAACTGAATTTCAAAATATGCAGAGATCTATTTTAACAGACTTTTCCTTCTAACTGGCCTGAAAGATCCCCACCTAATGAAACATTTATAAGTCACATTCCAGTATCCCATTTTTTTTTATCCCATTTTTTATTTTCATCCCATCAATTATTGACCTTGGAATAAATAGAGACCTATGAACTCAAATAGCAATAGAGGTCTGTGTCAGTTCTGTGGTAGGCTTACACTGCTTTGGTATGGGTATTACCAACACGTGCATAAAGTACACAAGGGAAAGCATCTCTACAGACTTAAAAACCAAAAATGATTATGATCTGACAATTATGTATCATGAAATAAAGGTAACAATGCCAACAGGAAAATAAAGAAAATATGTGAATGGCTGTCTTTGAGCCAGAATGAAGAACAGGAAGCAAAAATGTGGCTTCAGATTGAACTTAGTCAAGGCCAAGTTCATGGCATAAGTGCTCTTTGTAACCAGTCTGTCTCTGCCATCTTTTATAGACAAAAGTGACTGCTGTGTAAAAATCACCACATTCCTAAGTATAAATATTCTACAGATCAAGAGTAAAATCAGACTAGTAAGAGCAAAACTGTTCAGACAAAATCATCTCCAAAATCACAATTTGTTACATAAAATGAGAAACTGTACTTTTTGTCTAAAAAATAATGATTTTCAGATTGCTTACAAAATATCACAATAAAGTGTCATAGGGTTTTTTATCCAATAAATCTCAGAAAGCATAGTTGTGAAGCTTACATACTTGTTAAAAGAGAACATTGGTAAACAGATGTATTACACAGGAATGCTTAGAAACCTATGGGTGGTCAGACCAGTTAACACACTGAAGAAAAGATTTAGGTTGGGTTTATACAGAACACATGCACACAACAGCTGATAAGAGTAACACTGCTTAGAGTTGTGACTTGTCATGACATTTTTATAAGAGATAAATTATTATGCATAATGTCTGTCTATACCCACAAAATGTAATTCTGTTGATATATTTAATTCCATTTAAGCAAATTATAAAAATCATTTTAACATACGCACAGTTAACATTGTAAATTACTGACACAAGAAAGTATCTAGATCAAAGCTGTAAATGTTCACTAGGGGAAAGAGGTGACCTCTCAACTCATGGTGTAAGACTAAAACAAAAATACAATGGCTAAAATAATGTAGAAATTTTGCTCTCCAAAATTTTTGCGCCACTTTTTCAAGAAGTTATTTGTTACAGAATACATGTAAGAATTTAGGGCATAAAGTTAGTAGAATAAAGCACTTCATGCAAGAAGTCAAAAAGACTGCCGTAGTCCCTTAAAATTCTACAATCTCGTAAAAAGCCACTATTTCATTTTAGATGTTAATTTATATGAAAAACTCCATAAAGTACAATTACCATTTAAGATACAAGCTCATACCCTTAATGTATTATCTCATGGAAAAGCAGATCAAAGCCTAAACAACCTGTGATGGACTGGTAATGAAGACATTTTTGAGCCACATAATTATAATGCATTACAGGGGTTGGAAGGAGGATGAAGAGGAAAGAGGACAAAAGCATCCAAGAAACTGGTAGGATTTTACCAAGATACTGAGGATCAAACTGAATTAAGCCCGTAAGAAAGAAGAACAAAGAAACAAACAAAAACCCCATAAAATCAGGATTTAATTAAATTGCTTATTTTAGGGACCATAAATTAAGGTGTTTCAAATGAGACAGCAAGACATCAAAAGGCAGACCCTCTCCTTAATGAGTACTTTGGAACTGAGATGTACCTGAAAGAGTTGAAAGGATATCCTAGAACTATTTAGTAACTAGAAACAGACCACAGTACTATCCCGTGGAAGAAAATAACTTGTCATGCTACAGGGGAAAAAAAAAAAAAAAGGCACGAGCAGTTTATGTACTGCCCTCATTAACTGCAACAGTATTCAGATCGTAAACAGCTAATTCAATTTAAGATTAAAATACAACCAGTATGTGTAGCTAAAGACAGGGACAAGGGGAAGACAGGCTTGTGACAGACAGTCATTAAGAATTACAGCGATCAGCAACAACAGTTTTATGTCTGGAGGAAAGGGTATGCTTTGTCTCAACAATCAGCACCAAAGCCCCTCATCAGCCATCTCCTCGGTCATTAAGAAATAAAAAAGTACTGTCATCTTTACTGCAAAGACGGAGCCAAGAGTGTCGGGGAGCCTTACATGTAAGTGACATGCCTGGCCTCGGGTGAAGTACCGCATTACCGTTTCTTATCTAAGACCCGACAGGACGTACGGGTACCTCTATCAATAAAACAGGAATCTGACGCTGGCTCCTGTCAGACTGCTACGACAGTCTTCCCCCGCTTTAGCTCCTTCGCAGTAAAGGCCACTGCGCTGTGAACACCCCGGGGTACCTCACCAACGGAGCCCCGGAGCCCCAACCCCGCGGCCTGCAGCCCGGAGCCATGAGGAGAAGCCCGCGACGACCCGGCCCGGCGAGGGCGGGCGGCTTCCCGCCTCGGCGAGTGAGAGCGCCGCCGCTCGGCAC